CGGGATCCTGCACCCCAGCCTTACAGACAGTCTTTGCAGGGCTATATGGATGCCCTGGAGAACCCAGGAGTCCTGGCTCCTAGCTGCCCCCCAACTCTACCCACTAGCCCCCACTCCTCTCCCAGAGCTAGAGAGAGAACCCAGGAGTCCTGGCTCCCAGCCCCCTGCTCCAACCATCAGACCCCACTCCCAGAGAGCCCAGGCACCCTGACCGCGTTACGCCCTCTCTCTCTTGCAGCACCCCTTGGCGGGGGCCCCGGGCCAAGCGAGCTGGGGGCCCTGGGAGTCAGGAACGTGACCAGTGATGGGTTTGGGCTGCAGTGGAGGGCGCGGAAGGGCCTGTTCCAGTCCTTCCTGCTGCGCTACGAAGATGCGGCCGGGCGCATGGGGCCCCGGGAGGCTGAGGTGCCGGCGGACCAGCGGGCGACCCAAGTTGGGGGGCTGCGGCCTGGCACCGAGTACCATGTCACGCTGTACGGGGTGCACCGCGGCCAGCTCTCACCCCCACTCAGAGCCAGAGTCCCGGGAGGGACCCCCCCCCCCCCCGCGCGGCTCATGCCTCAGCTTCCTGCCAGCCAGGGGGCGCCAACTGCCCCCTCCTCTGTCCCCTGCCCAGCTTGGCACTTGCCCACCAGTCTGCTTTCCTTCCACAGTGTTAGGGGGCAGCGCCCAGGAGTCCTGGCTCCCAGCCCCCCCTGCTCTAACCACCAGACCCCACTCCCCTCCCAGAGCTTGGGAGAGAACCCAGGAGTCCTGGCTTCCAGCCCCCCCTGCTCTAACCCACCAGATGCCACTCCCCTCCCAGAGCTGGGCAGTGAACCCAGGAGTCTGGGCTCCCAGCCCCCCCTGCTCTGACCCACCAGCTCCCACTTCCCTCCCAGAGCCAGGGAGAGAACCCAGGCATCCTGGCTCCCAGCCCCCCTGCTCTAACCCACCGGCCCCCACTCCTCTCCCAGAGCTGGGAGAGAACCCAGGTGTTCTGGCTCCCTTTCCCAACCCCGCCCCCCAAGCAGTGTGGAGGTGAGACAGCTGGGAGTCTTTGCCAAGGGTGTTTGAAATAACAATTGTCTGCTAGGTCCGGTGGCTCCCGGGGTGGGAGGCGCAAAGCGAGCTGCCACCCCCCCATACACCTAGACACACCACACATGCAGCCTCCCCCATCCCTCCTCCCCGTACCCACCTGCAGCCCCCTGGAGCATGTCTGTTGACATGTCTCCTCATGGGGGTGGGAGCTGGGGGTGGACGGGGTGGGAATGTCGGGGTGGGCATGTGATGGATAGAGTGTGTCGGGGGCTGGGGGGGGAGAAACCCAGGCAGGGGAGGGAGCAAGGAGCGGGCCCCGTAGGAAAACAGAAGAAGGAGACACAGACAAGGAAGAGTGGCAGGGAACGGCGGAGCCTGACAGAGAGACGAGCACTGACAGGCGGTGGGGAGCGTGGCGGGGGAAAGGAAAAGGGACGAATCGTTAACGGCAGCAATGGGAGGGAGACAACCGAAGCGATGGCATGGGAAAGATGGCAAAGAGACGAGGGGCAGATACACACAGCGATCTCACCCCACTGCTCCCCCCAACCTCAGACCCCCCATGGCATCTCCAATACCCTTCCCCCACCCTGACCCAGAACTGATGGGACCATCTCTCCTGCCCTCTCCCTGCCAGCGCCAGCAGAACCCGGCGCCCAGCCCAGCCTGGGGGAGCTCTCGGCCTCGGAGGTCACCCACAACTCCACCCTGCTCTCCTGGACCGTCCAGGCCGGGGACTTCGACTCCTTCCTCCTCCAGTACAAGGACGCGGAGGGCAAACTCCAGGCGCTGCCCGTGGATGGAGGATCCCGCACAGTCACAGTAACCAATCTGGTCCCCTCCCAAAGATACAAATTCAACCTCTACGGCGTCTCCGGCCGCAAGCGCCTCGGCCCCGTCTCCACCGACACCGTCACAGGTCAGCAGCTGGACCCGGGGCACCAGCCCCTTTCCCTCCTGCCCCTTTTGCTTTGCAGTGTGGTGAGGACACCGGCCACTGGGCTGGGACCTTCCCAAGAAGATGCTTCCAAGGAAATGAGAGAGGAGGACGAGCAAAGAAGTGAAAGCAGCAAGGACTGGAGTGTGGAAGCAGTGCAGAGGGACGAGAGCATCCATCTAATCCATTCATCCATTCACCTGTCCATCCATCCATCCGTCCGTCCGTCCGTCCATCCACAACTAGACTGCTGGCCATTCAATGGGCAGAGAGAAGAGAGTAGATAGGGATGGGTGGATGTATGGATGGATAGACAGACAGACAGCTGGATCAATGTGCATGGGACAGGTTGGGTAAATGGATTGATGTGTATGGGAACAGATGGATGAACAGATAGGTACATGGATGGGTGTCTACATGGGTGGATGGATGGATGGACTGCTGGAAGTCTGGGGGTGGATGAATGGACGGACAGATGGTAGGGTGCATAGCTATGTATGGGGGTGGTTGGATGGACAGAGGGATGGAAGGATGGTTAGATATGTATGGGGGTGGATGTATGGATGGACAGACGGAAGGGTGGTTAGATATGAATGGGGGTGCATGTATGGATGGAGAGATGGAAGCGTGGGCAGATATGTATGGGGGAGGATGGAGGGATGGACAGACGGAAGGATGGGTAGATATGTATGGGGGTGGATGGGTGTTTTGGGGGACAGATGGACGTTCCGAGAAACATGCTTCCAAGACTCCTGCATCCACAAAACTCCTGCATGTACATGGATGGGTGTCTAAAGGAGTGAATGGATGGATGGAGGGGATGGTCATCGATGAGTAGATAGAGGAATGGATGTGTATGGGGATGGATGGATGGATGGACGGGGAGGTGGGCAGATATATATGAGGATGGATGAATGGATGGACAGAAGGCTGAGTAGACATGTTTGGATGTGGATGGAGGGATGGATGGACGGAAAGGTTGGTAGATATGTATG